ATCAGGGCTTCCCTGGGTGCTGCCTTCCATGATGGAAACAGGCCTTGTGTGCTGAGAGGGGACAGGTTGACATCACTGACCTCTAAGATCCAGATGTTGAAATAGAATAAATCTCTACGTTTTCTCATCCTGCTCAGGGTCACATCTATCCCTGATGGAAAGCAGAACAGCTTTTCTATTGAGACTTGTCAGTATAAGTGCAGGGCTTAAAAGTACTTGGAACTCTAAACACTGCAGAGGCAATATTTTTCTGGTATTTCAGCATTTTCTCTGTTGCTCTTGGCCATAGCTGAAGTATGGAGAGGCACAAATAGACTGAAAGTCTGAAAAAGTGTTTATGCTTTTTCAGTCTTTCATATATATAATTTCCTTATGCAGAACATATAAACTGAGGTTTAGCACATTAGTTGGGTTTATTTAAATTTTTGCCTCGGCCAGTGTTTTGATTGTCCAAAGCCTATTCTGAACCTCTTTAACTTCAGTGCCTGGTTTTGTAGTCAGATGGCTTAGGTCAGTAAGAGGGAGAGCACGACTTCCATCCAAGCCATCAAACGTGATGTGTGTGAGGCCCTGTCCAGGGCTTGGGAGTGTCCTGCTGCCCTATGGCCCTGGACATCAAGGACATGAGTGCCTGGGCTGCACTCCAGCAGCACCGCCTCACCCCCAGACAGATTGCTTTTCAAAAGTTCCCGTTGCAAAATTGTCCTGCCTTTGGTCACTTGGTAGTGCAGTCTGCTGTCCCACTGAGATCTCACCGACACCCTTTCCAGGCCTGGGCAGCAGCCCTTTGGGAAGAGGGCACAGAGGCTTTGCTCACCTTCTGTGTGCTTTGCTCAAGCCTGTGTTTGTCTCAGAGGCTGGTCAGGTTGGTCCACTGGGCATTGGAGTCACATGGAATAACATCCGCTCTACATTGTACTGCATCATCTCTCAGAAGCTGCTTAAAAAAAAGATTAGGTGCCAGTAAGGTTTGGGCTGTTTGTCCTGGAAATGCTGTAGTTAATAAAAATAAAAGAAGTTCACAAATGGGATTTCATAGAAAAATGCAAAGCAAACTCCTGTGACAGTGACTTTGCTGGCCTGAGGGGACTGCATTTCAGCTAGTTTGAAAAAACACGGTCAAAATTATTCCTGCCTTAAATAGATTCAGTGACTTTTTTGTTTTGATTGGACATGTGCTTTTTTCCCCACCACAGGTATTATTTTCTTAAAGTCAATTACAGATCCAATGTGTAATTTTAAAAATAGTGCAAGTTCCAAGGGTAAACCAGGCTCTGCAGAGCCCTTGTCTTAGGATGATCACACCCCTCGTTTGCTAGCACAGCCTGTGTGAACATTAAACTTCATCAGTTGCCTCTTCAGCAGCCGGTTTAAAAATGATGCAGAGGAGTGAAAAAGCAAAGATATTATCAAGCTACATGTCCTAAAATGTATCCTGGGAGCTGTGTTCTATGTAGAAGATCTGTTTAGCTATTTAAAGTTATACTGAGACTTTCCAGTCCCTGAAGATGATCTTTTAGGTTTGCAGAATTGGTTACTCTGCAAACTGCCAATTTTTTCATTTTTATTTTTTAATATGTGAGATGGAAGTAAGTTGGAATGAGCTAATTTAGCCAATGGAATTTTATAAGAAATCTATGAATGCTGTGGGTTTCCCTCCCTCACCCCCTCCGGTAGAAACATAATTTGGAGAAATGAAAACAGTCTCTGGCTGGCTTTAGGGCTTTCTCAAAAATAGAAACAGTAGAGTTTGTCTGGCTGGGCCAGTTTCCTCACCACACACCTGGTGTATATCACTTTAAAAAATACATTATGCCTCATTAAATTACAATTAAATGAAATCATGATCATTTGTTTTTCTGGAAGGAAGATGTTTTGCATATTGAAAGCCTAATTTGTTACAGGTGACAAAAAGGCTGAACAGATTATTTAATATCACTTTATTTTTTATAATGTTGCTCACTGGTTAGTTTGCGTATACTTCAGTAGCTCAGAATTATATTATTGTCAACGTTATTGCTCTCAAGGCACTTTATTTTATTATCCTCCCCTATCACTCAGCTATCTGCTGCTGCTGTTTACCACTGTTGTTGTTTATCTTCAGTTGCAGGAGGACACGAGATTTGTCCCTCATGAGTCAGTTTTCTTATTAGCTCTCCTGCTGTTTACATGGTTCCTAAGCTGCCAAAGCACTTAGAGGAGCTGCAGAAAAACCCTCCTGGCAGCCAGATTTCCTACCTGTGGGCCTGGAGTGGGGCAGGGGGATCAGGGCTCACCCCTGCCAGCGGCTGCTGTGTCGTGGTGCTGGGCAAGCAGCGATTCCCCCTGGAGCAGGTGCCTGCCTTAGAGCAGAGGCTCCCAGCCTGCTGATGGAACAGGCGTGCTGCAAAACACTGCTGTGTCCCTGTAGCAGCTCAGGCTGAGACCCTCATGGGAGCAGGAGCGCAGGCACCAAATCTACTGCATGATAAATCAGAGCCTGCAAGCGCAAGGATTGGTATCTCAGGCAGTGAGATACATCTTAGTGCTATGAGCAAGCCGCTCGTACCTGTGAGCCTCTGATTTACATACAAAGTCAATGACTGCATGGAAAAGTAATTGCTGGCATGCTTTCACGTATGTTTCTGCTCTCCATTTTTGAAATTGGACCATAAATTTTATGAGGCTAAATTGGGAGGGAGAAAAAAAACTGCCTTAGAGTCAGCTCCGGTAGCTTTCAGGTCCCTTTCTTTCATATTAAACTCACTAATTTTTGAAGTTGAGTTTTTATTTTACAAAGAAGTTTTGCATACATATCCTTTCAAAGACACTGGGAATTAGAAATTTAGAGAATCGTTGGAACCAATATTTCCTTTATTTACTGCATTTAAAGAATTTTTTCACTGACTTCAGGGGAAATTTTAATAAGGACTTGCATCGTTCTTGGAATCATGCAGGTTGCAGCTTTAAGCTCCTATAGGTACATTTTTGGTTAACCTTCCCCAGCCTATGAGCCTTTCAGACTTTAGAAAGCTTTTCAAAATGTCCTTAGCTTCTCTCAGAGGTGGTAAACCCTGAAAAGGAAGACAGGTATGAGCATGCAGTTGTGTCGAGGTCACGCAAAATACCAGAGGACAGCCTAGCACTGCTTGTTCCCAAAGAGCAGACCTTTTTCACCAGCCAGCTTCTCTCTCGCATCCAACTTCTGAGTAGTGCTAACCATGCTTCCATTCCCAGCTCCAGTCCTTCTGGTGCCCACACTGATCATTGCAGAAGAACATAACTGGGAGTGTCTCAGCTTGATTATGTTGGTGAGGAGCTGAAAAGATGGAGCCTGCCTTCAGGTTGTGTGTGGAGCTTGCTTAGAGTGCTTGTGGTATAAAGTCTGCTGAAGTGAAGGTTTCACATGTGTGTTTTAGTCTGGGTGTTTAATTGCAGATAAATGCAGGTCAGTTGGTTTTGTCAGGAAGACTGGTAAATAAGGTCACAGTATGTACTAAAAATGTTGGCGTTTGGTTAATTGGCCAACTGTAGTGGCAGTGCTTTTAGCAAGGCTTTTTGAAGGAGGCTCTCTGATATGGAAGAAAAAAAATGAAAACTAAATCTTACAGGGCTTGGGGTATGTGGCTGCTTTCTAGTAACATTTTTCTGATGGGAAAGGAGTAAGCCTTGCCTGTCCTTGGACCCTTGCCTGGGTCCTGGCTGTGAAGTAGCTGCAAAACACTGGTGTCAGCAGCCACAGCGGGGCCGTGTCGGGGCCTGCGGCGTCCCTGTGCTGCTGTCCCGCTCCTCTCCCAGAGCAGGCCAAGGTGAGCCCTCCAGCTCCCGCTGGGATTTCACAGGGCTTCTGTGGCCAGCGTTCCTGGGAGCAGCCTCCGGGTGACGGGAGGGGAGCGGGAATGGTGTCAGATGGCTCAGGGAAGCAGACTGGCAGAATAGCCTTTTGAAATAATGAGCACATTGAATTGAATAGTAACAGTAAGGTATCTTTTTGATATGTTAAGATGTAAGTAGCCTTGATGGACAGAAATGCTCCCTCTCTGCTTCCTTGCACACCAGTACATTAAAACAGGTATAGTTCAGAAATTTGCTGTTCCTGCTCTTTGGAATGAAGTCCCAGTTTGTGAAGTGTCGGATATGAGGGGGTGCCTGGGGGAAGCTGGTGGTACACGCTGTGTCCTTGGTAGTTTCTGTGGGCCCTGATCCAGACTTGTGTGCTGTGCCTTTAACTTTTAGGTAATCCGTGGAACTAGTGAGTGCAAGGGCATACTCTTACACATAAATTTAATCCCATCATTAGATTTAAACCTCTTTTAATGTTATTTTCATATCTCCAATTATTTTATTTTTTTACTCTTTATTTTTTAGAAATGCTGTGTAATGACTTTTGTAAAAATTAGATTAATATGGTGTTCATTCACAGTTGCAATGTGAAGCCTGTGGTATTTTAAAATGAGTCATGAAGGAATGGGTTAAATCCCTAAAGCTAGATTCGAAGGTTTTATTATTGCTTCATTTTTCTCCTTTCAGAAATGACTGTCCAAACTGAAATGAGCGGACTGTAACATTTTTCTTTATAAACCTCCTGCACTGTTTAAATGTCGAAACTAAATTTACCAACCTTGGCAGATTTGTCAAAGATGAACAGGATTGCCAAGCACTCCCAGCTTCAAGTAAAAAGAGAAAGAGAGAGAGAGAGAGATGTAACAGCTCCTAAAATATTTGCAGCAAGCACCTGGTGATAACTGCAATTTCTTCTAACCAGTGCACCTACCTTCCTATCCAGCATCTCCATACTCAGAAGCTTATTACTGTGCCAGAATAGGACAGTCCCAAAATAAACCCCAGCCCCCAGAAGACAAACACTTTCCTACAAAATATCCCCTCAGGGAGAGCCCATGAGATTCTGATGTAGATTCTCAGTATTGCAACCCAGCTGGTTACACTAAACAAATTTTTAAAAACCAAAGAAACCCATCAACGCATGACTGGCTTTTTTTTTTTTTTCCCCCCCCCCCCAGGGTTTGTTGTCAGAGATCCTGCGTAAAGAAGAAGACCCTAGGACAGCTTCCCAGTCCCTCCTGGTGAACTTACGGGCAATGCAGAATTTCCTCAACTTGCCTGACGCGGAGCGGGATCGTATCTATCAGGATGAGAGAGAGAGGAGTATGAACCCAAACGTGAGCATGGTGTCTTCAGCTGCCAGCAGCCCAAGCTCCTCCAGAACACCCCAGGTAAGATGCAATCCCTTGCTACCTGTTTGTTGTCCAGATAATTCCAGGAAAGGAATGTCTTTCCACCCTTGCCCTGTTGCTCCCCTTGACCAGATAAGTTGTGGAAAATCTTTTGGAAGGTTTTGGAATGGCTGTTAAGAGACATTTAGTGGATGTCAGCAAGACACTATGATGGATCACTCTGTCTTTAATCAATGCCATAAGGCAAAAGAGTATGTAATGTTAGTGCCTGAAGAGTGCATGTGGGCATACATACTGGCTATGTTTATATATGTCCATTAAATGGCTATTACAGAATATATTATGGAAAGATAGTGCATGTAGCTTTTTACCTGTGTCGATTACCTTCTTCAGAGCACAGGGAATTTCTGGGCTTCTGGTTCATATATGTTGCCATAAAAGTGTCTAGTGAGCAGAGGTTGATAGTGCATTAAATAGGTGTTGTTAGAAAATACTGTGCTCCTTATTCTGCATAGGAAATCACAGTCCCTGCGTTAGAGGTTTTTACAAGTAAATGTTTGAGGTACAGAAAGTGGAGATGGACAATGTGCTGGGAAGGAAGATGATGCTTACGGCTCCCAAGCAGCTGTTTTCTCATTCACTTAACTGTACGTGTTTATTAACGTGCTGTTGCCGCCCACTCTTCCCTGGGTAGGTTGTTCTTTGCACTAAGAAAGAGCATCCACAAACTACACTGTAATAGTCATCCCCACCTTGTACCAGGCTGATGCAGTCCCACACTGTACTCTGCAAAGTGAGGGTCCTTGCACGAGACTGCTGATGAATTCCTGTCAGGACATTTGCCTGACTTGAGTCTGAACTTTCTAACAGTACAGACGTGATGTGTCAGTTCTAGCACTTTAGTGATGTGTAGTAAACGGGCCTGTGTAACCCTTCTAATAATATCAATGATCACTTCTCATTGGATTCTGTAGTCACAGCTGGTAAAAGTAAGTAAGCAAGCAAGCACTGCTGGGGGGAGTGAAGTTTTACATTCAAACTGACCATCCTTAGAGAAGGTGTGTTGATTTTGTAGAAACTGTTGAGGCTGTTCAGTTTAACCCAGACATGTAGGTGCACTTCACCGAATATGTGATGTAAAGAACTGCTTTCACTGAAAGCAAGCTTATCCTGCCAACCTAAATTTGATACTGAATTTTCATTGCATGGGAAACTCATTGTATGCTCCGTATCTTTTTTAATTACCTTTAGGTGAAAATAAATATATATAGGTATTTTAATAATGGGTACACTTTTTTTGCTATTTAAGTAGTGTAGCCACTTTCTGCATTGGTATTGATTCATTAAAGAATTGGCTTACTCCTGCTTACATTTATTGCAATAGGTTTTGTACTAGAATCAAGCACTGAAAGAAAATTGAGAGTTTAGATGCAGTCTGGTGAGAAAAAAAATGGGATCTCTTGCCCCATTTCATTCCTGTGTTGAAATACGCTATTTTTCCATGCTCTAGCCACAGCCAGAACATGATTTAAAATAAAGGAGTTTTTTGCCTGCCTTTGTAAGAGCTAGATGTTGCTAGAAAACCATAGTCTAGAAGTATAAACCAGCACATATTTGCCTTATTTCAGCTTGAAGAATCCAGTAGAATTTTGTGAGGTTTTTAATCAGCAAAAGCAGCACACAAAGGTTTGTGTACCCAGTGCTTGCCTTGTGCCCACTGTGTAACATTTCCCCAGTCCTCAGAGGGCCAGCACCAGTCAGCACAGGTGCTGTTTTGACAACTTGGACACCTCTGCAAATGAGGCTCTTCCCAGCTCCCGGGCAGGCAGCACGGCTACTGCGCTTCCCCATATGCCTGCTATTAGTTCTGACGAGACAAATGCCGTCCTCGCAGGCAGCGCGGCGGTTCCGGCAGCGCCAGCTCCCCGGGCAGCTCTCTTACCTCCCGGAGCGGGGTGCTTTGGGGCAGCAGTGGTAGGAGCTGTAGCAGCCTTGCAGGAACTGTGTCAGTGTGCCAGAGAAGGTGATGGAATGGCAATTGGAAACACGGTTTCCATAGATACCGATATCCTGCGGCGAGGCTTTTGGGATTGAGTGTGCTGGGTAGGAGAGGAGTGGCGGATACCTGTGGAAGTGCTGGTGCTGTCAGGCAGGCCAGTGTAAGGGCATGCAAAGTAACCCAGCTCGGCTCTCCCTGCCTCTGAGCCCAGCCCCAAGCCACCCTTTTGTGCTATCCCTGGCTCAGGACCTGCCTCAAGGCGAGAATGAGAGATTGATCCAGCAAACGAGGTACAACTGCTGCGGAGATGCTCTGAGCTGTTGGGAGTTGTTGTGTGCACACAGAACCCCAGCAGTAAGGGGCTGGGTTGCAGTGCTCAGACACTGTGGTTGCAAACACTTTTTTTCTTTTTTTCCCCACTGTTGGCAATAAGATGTTTCAGTAGTGTCAAGCTCCTTCTTAATATCAAGACCAGCTTTGAATCTAGACTTCTAACATTAAATACTTTATTTTAGTGACTTTTGATTGGCATTTGCCCATCCTATTTTGGTGATTAAATAAAAAATGGTGCAGCTTTCAGGGTGTGCAGGGTAGACTTTTTCCTGACATGTGGCTGTGGACCTAGAAGTGTAGGAGACCCGTGCAGGATGGAGTTACATTTTAAATCTTTCTTTTACATGCTAATTTTGTTCTTCTCAGGATCTCAGACATCATAACAGCCTTTGAGGCCATGGTGACCTCAAGCTGCTGTGCTAGCCAAAGCCTCCAGTGCCTGGGAAGCCTTTTTTGTACCTGACAAATCTCCATTAAATCAGTCCTGACAGACTTGGACAGTCCTTCTCCTTTCCATGAACTCTTTGTTGTTTTCTTACATTTCCCACAATTGCCCTAACTCTCATCTATCTGTAAACATTGAATTTCAGAGCAGGGTGTCCCTGTGGGTCCCTGTGTTGCACTGTACCCAGCTCATGGCCTGTGGATGGCAGTGGTTCAGCCCTGGCCTCCTGGGCCATGGTGGCCATGCTCTGCCCCAGCTGCTGTCCAGCTGCCTCTGCCTGCGCACGAGGCTGGCCTCAGGGAACAGGGAAATCTCACACCCTTTCTGTGCATGTCCTGCCTGTGACAGGCAGGGAGCAAGCCCAGAGCAGTGCCTGATGAGCCTGGAAAGGGAGAAGACACAGGTCGGTTAAGGCTTTATCTGGAAGTCGTAAGGAAGAATGATCAGTCTAGTGTGTTATCTTGACTGATTTTGGCTCCATTATTAATGTGGCCTCCATACAGAAGAGATGTCAGGAAGAAGAAGGTTTGGAGGACAACAAAACAGAAGTTCAGAACGTTTGGTTTTGCCTAGATAACCTTCCTGTTAGCAAATAAACATTTGAGCATGTCTGCCTAGTTAAAAATTAACATTAGATGTACTCTAGCAGACTTCAACTCTGACACAAAAACGAGATCCGTCTGAAAAGGTTCACAATTGGGCCAAATATCAGAGTCACTGGGGTGGTTTGGGTCTATTGGGAACTGTGAGCTTTGCCGTTTAGGTTGTGTTCTTTCCTAACACCTTTATGTCTCAAGACAAAACAGAGGTTTTATATCGGTAACCCCCATTTCCCTTAAAAGGTCCCTTAAAAGTAAATGAGATCTGTCTCCAAGGGGCAGCTGGTGCTGGGAGCACTCAGTGAGCATCACACCGCCCTCACTCCCTCTCCTGCCAGTGCATTCTGGGGATCACCAGTCCAGGGGCTTTACAATTGGCATCCTGTAGCAGTCTTCTGAACTGTATTGGTAGAAGCCTTGCACGGGTAGTCCAGCCCAGGGAAAGCACTGGCAGCGTCCGTTATTGTCCTTCATTTGTCACAGAAGCTGATGGGAAATCATTCAATTAAAAGGAGTGCAGTGGAATACACAAAATCTCAATATGAGTTTAGGAGAATGAGGGCAGCACATCAAAGGCATGCCAAAGCCCAGCTTTATGAAATGATTTTTTTTTCATTTCCACTGATTTCCTAGGTGAAATTAGGTGACTGTCTGGCTAGCATAATGATGATAAGGCTGGGAAACCATACGTACTCAAGTGACATACGTATAGTTTTAATAAAGGATGAGGGAGACTTCAGGGAGTGCATTAAATTGAGTAATAATTTATTATTTAGAGACCTCTACCCATTTACTCATTTTTTCTGGGAGAATTGGCTCTTCCTCCAAGGTGTAGGCCACTTTTAGAGAGAGGGGGAGAAGGTAGAGCCTGGTGGCTGTGCTGCAGTGGCTGGCTGGCAAAGCCAATGTCAGCGTGTGCCTGCAGCCCGGTGCCCCAGCTACCTATCCTGTTGTTGAGCTGCTCAATAAACATGCTGGGAGAGGGAGAGGGGGAGACTTGACAGGGCCTTGCATGTCCTATAGGAATGCACTGCAATTATTTCCAATCACAATTAACCTGATTAGAATAATGGACAGGAAGTGTCCCTCTGTAGCTAATGCAGTTTGGCATCAGCTGACTGAAATCCTTTGATAATTTCTGCACAGATGGCTGGGCTGAAAGCAGCACTTTTTTAATTATTATTTTCATGGTCTCTTGGTAGGCCAAAACCTCGACACCAACAACAGACCTCCCCATTAAGGCGGACAGCGCCAACGTCAACATCACAGCTGCCATTTATGATGAGATCCAACAGGAGATGAAAAGGGCCAAGGTATCTCAAGCTCTGTTTGCCAAAGTGGCTGCCAATAAAAGTCAGGTGAGTGGTATAGGGGATTTCATTGTTGTGGGGCTTTCTGGGGTTTTGTTTTTAAAGCAATCTCTGGGTTCGGGACTAGATCCATCTCTTTCTCCCACCAATAAAATTACATCTGTTCTTACAATAATAATAATTTTCATCTCTGGGGAACCTGTCATGTTTGGCTTTTGCCTGCTTAAGTGGTTTCCTTTTCCCTTTTAAAAGAGGCTGTGGACAGGGTCAGTTCACAGCCAAGCCTTTTCTCCCCTTTTGTACAAACATGTCTCTCTTTTCCCACGTGTGGTATATAACTTACACCTCTGCTAGTAGGACAAGGAACTTCCAAAATGGTGGTATCCTACTCATTCAGCAGGTAATGAAATTTCTTTCTCAAGTGGTTAACTGAGGGAAGGCAATGAGAAACAGCATATTAGGCAGGTGTTTCCTTTTTAGCATGTTGTATGTGCTGCATACGGTATTGCCATGTGAATAATTCACATCGGATCCAATCATTTTTACAAAAAGGCATGAGGACGCACTGCAGTGAATTCTGACGGATTAGTTTCTACCTTGGGTGTAAAAAATACATGTGAGCAAACTTAGGTTGGGGTGAAATTCTTGAAGAGAATCCATTAATTTAAAAATTTCATCCAGCTCGTTAAAAAAATATAATGCACCAGAAGGGATCTTGTGGAAAGGAGGACAGATTTTTTTGAAGGGCAGCAAGTGGATTGGAGATTGTTGGAAGGAATTGTTTACTCAGTTAAAAGAGCTGCTTCTGATCCTGGATGAAATTATCAGTTCAGCAAGGAGAGGGCATCAATACGCACACAAAAAAATGCACAAATGTGCACATGACAATGAGACAGTGGGATAGAAGTATCTAGGTGCATGCACTCTGAAAAATGCACACTTCCCTCTGTGCAGGAAAACAACATTATAGTCATTAAAGCAGATGTAAAATAAGCAGTTGAAAGACGTATAAAGAAAGCATCAAAGGCTATCAAAGCACATGTGAAAGCCTTGTCCTTCTTACAGGTATTTGTGTCCTGACACATGGGGATATGATTAATTTTTCCTTCTTAATGTAATCATTTATTTTCTTTGTGTTTTGTTTTCTCTTGTCAGAGTAGAGGGGTTACAGTCCCTCTACCCCCCAAACCAAATCCCAGGCTCAGTATGAAATACATAAAAGGAAAATACCATGGAACCCTCTTAAACTGTTAAATGCATAAAAATCTCATGTACCACATGGCAAAATATAATGAGAACTGGAGCTGTTAAACGAATAAAGCTGTTAAAAGCATAATGCCACTTGGCACAACTACTGTGCATTTAACGGTTTTCCACTGTGTAATAAATGACATATGTGGTAAACGTGCAGTAAATATAAAAACTGCACAATTGATTTTGCAAACGTGCCCCTTATTCTTTGCTCCATGCAGATATCAAAGTTCCACCCAGAATCCGGACTGGACAGCTTTTAATAAGGAGTGTTTTAACACAGACCGAATGCCAGCCTCTCTGAGGTTTGGCTTAAAATTGCCTGCAAGCTTCCTGTCATTATACCCAGAGGCTTCTTGAAATAGAGAGGGACTGAACCACCCAGCAATAATTTGGGTGGCTCACCAGCTTTGGTCTGTGCCAGCTTGAGTGCACTTCTCTGGCAACAATGCATACCAGCGCCAAAACAAAAATAAGATCTGTAGTCTTTCACGTGGAAAAAAAGCCGGGCAGATTTTGAACACCAGATGCAAAAGGTTAAGAACAGGATCCACAAATGTTATTGTTTAAAGCAGAGTTACTGCACATAAAGGTTTTGTTTCTTCAGCAGCAGCAAATAAAGAAGTGTTTCTGAGGCTGATGTTTCTTTTGTTTCACAGCCTTGCCAAAGCAGTTCTGGCTCCCTGGGATGGCCCAGCATTCGCCATGCTGAGATGTCATAGCGCTCTGCTGGAGCATGAAAGTGGTTTATGGGGGCACTGTAAGGCAGGGACAGAGGAAGCCACAGCCAAGAACCACAGTGGTACAGGGCACCCCCTGCCTCAGAGCCCACCTGTGTGCCTGCCCCTGGCCTGGCTTGTTGTGCCTGTGGTGTTCTGCCGCTGGCTGGGGAGCTCTGTGGCCTGGAGGAGTGCCAAAAAGCAAGGACACAGCTGCCTGCATGGGGGAGAGCCACAGTGGCATGGTCAGCCTTAGGTCTAGCTTGTCTGAAACCTAGCAGTTGGGTGTTCAGTGCTTTGCACAGGCCAGCTGTGCCAGTTGTGGGAATTTCTGGTGAAAATGTTGCTTATTTCAGCGGCTGAGTTACATGGTGGGAAGCGCTCATTGAAAACTGCCCATGTTTGCAGAAGAGAGAGTTTGAAAGGGGGGAAAAAAGAGCTAGTCTGAGGCTTTGCTTGGACTCTCCGCCAAGGTTCGTTCACTTGCTATTCTCCACAGGCCTGGCTTGTGTTGTGTTGGCTTCCTCTATTATTCCCTCACCCCAGACTACTGAGAGGCTTCCAGTTTGCTAACAAGGCATGTGTTATGTTGGGCGCTGCTGTTCTGTCAACAGCAATCCACGGTGCTGTGAGATCTTCACAGCTTTAGCAGGCAGTGAGTCTCCGACAGGGATGTTTTGACATTTTATACACAGGGCTGTGTGTCATGTACCCGAGAGAACATCCAGAGGCAACGGAGACCTCGTTTCCTCTTCTGTCTCTGTACAGGAAGAGTGGTACCCACTGAGAACAGTTATTGCAAGTGGCATCATCTACTGGTGGAGATAATTGACCTCTAATTTAACAAGTAACCATCCTCATTCTTAAGTCATGGCAGTGTCTCAGCAGCTGAAGAGGTTTCTAGAAACTGGGGCTGCAAATGACAGAGCTCACAAGTCAACATAAAGGCAAGTTTCAGGGCCTTATGGAGGTACCAAGGTAGTATGGTGAGAATTCTTTAAGGGCATCCACCTTCATAAAGATTTCAAGCCATTCATTTTAGACATTGACTTATTCGTCACTTATTCACCTCAATATGCATTTTATCCCTTGCAACTTACATCTAGATCTTTTTAGCCTTTGTGAAGTGCTGTGCTTCCCTTTGTATTTTTTAAGCCAGCAGGAGCTGAGAGCTCAGTGCCCTCCCAACACAGCCTCCAAAGCTGCCCTCCTATTTTAGTTGTCAGCTGTTAGGGATGTACCCAGTGGACAGCAGGATTGTCTGGGGATACTGCCTGCTAGGGCCCTTTTAGTGGCTAAACCTGGGACCAGTATTAGCACATTGGGAATGTTTCTGCTAGGGCCCTTTTAGTGGCTAAACCTGGGACCAGTATTAGCACATTGGGAATGTTTCTGAGTGTGGCTGAAACACCAGGGTTTGGTTTCTGGTCTACACTTCAGGCTCCCTGGTTATATTTAATTCACAAGAAGACAGGTTTCTGGTGTGCTCTTTCAGAGAGGTTTGGGTGGCCTGTGTGTATGCAGAGCTGGGCAGTGGGACAGGCAGAGACTTTGGATTGTGTTTGGATTGTTGGTTTTACAACTGGCTTCTACATTCAATTCCGCAACTGCTCTACAGTACAACTTCAGGAAAACCATTTCCCCATGACTGTGTGACTAATGCTGTGCAGCAGCATCAGCCCTTCGACCTCTGCTAGTGGGAGTCCTGTCAGAGGCTGTGCTGTGCTCAGCAGATATTTTTTTTTCTTAGTCTTTGCAAAATGGGTTTAGGAGTGTAGTTCTGTTTGTAGTAAACAATGACTATCAAAATAAATAGTGGGCGCTGCTGGCCGGAGCCGTTGTTGACAGTCTGAGGGAGGGCAGAGTTTGTATGAACATGGAGATCAAACTTCCCACAGCTCTGCCAGGGCAAGAGACTCTTAATCAGCCTGGGGTGGCATGGGGAAGCATGTTGCTGGGGATGAGCCCTGGGAAGGGCAAATGGAACCTCCACAGTCCAGTGAAAACAAAAAGTAAACTGAAATTCTTTTCAAGAGACTGGAGTTTATTCCAGTTGCACCACAGTAAAGCAAGAGAGACCCCTAGGAGCAGCATTTGAAAAAATGTTAAGGATCAGTCTCTGTGTTGTATTTTTTACCCAGCTGAAAAGTAAGCAAACAAACAATAAACTTGATGAGGGTTTGAGTTTGGGGGCAGAAAGGCCCTTCAGTTGAGGCCCTTGTAGTGAAAAAAATTCCCAGGCCTATGGATGAAAATCACTATGACAGTTTCTTGCCTTTCCTCTGACTTTCCTATTTCATGTCAAGATCCCTGCCTCATGTCCAGTTCTCTGGCCAAGAAGAATGTTAGCCCACAGCAGGATCCCACGCTAGGTGGGACTCCACACTATGGCTATCTTCCCATGCCCGCCCTTCCTGCTTGTCCTCCAAAAAGGAGGTACAGGAACTGCAAGAGGAATGAGCAGTGTCACTTTGAGGAAGGATTAACTTCAGAAACCCTTAATTTCATCCCTTCCTCTGTTTCCTTCCCAACTTACATTCCCTTGTATTCATGTGATAGGATGGGATGCCTTCTCTCTCCCATTTAGCTTATAATAGGTGTTTTCTTTGGCCTTAAACTAATTAGCTTCCAGTGATGATGAACAGCAGCTAGGAAAAGCAGCTGTTGGTGAAGATGTGGAGTGTACATAGTGTGTGCATACAGGGCACTTCTTACAGCCTTATCTCAGTGCCTTCTTTTATGATGCTTTGGATCTCTGCAGCTGGCACGTATCTGTTTTGCTGATATTGTGATGTTCTTGTCACATAGGGAGGAAATGCAGAAAGACATTTCTCTCCTTGACTGAACTTAGAATTTCTTCTATGTATCTTTAGACTAGAGCTTCTTTTTCACAGATTTGTATATCACAGTGTGACCCCATCCAGAACAAGAGAAGTGGGCCCATATGAACCTCATGCGGTTTGACAAGGCCAAGTAGAGTGTCCTGCACCTGGGTCAGGGCAAGAAGGGCAACCCCAGTATCAGCACAGGCTAAGGGATTAAGGGATTGAGAACTGTCCTGCCAAGAAAGACTTGGGG